ATAATTGTTGAATTGTGGTGTCAAATTTATAATTTGTCATGTGATAGTTGTCAAATTTATTAATTTTAAAATTGTCAGATTTTGATATTTTACATATAGACTTTTTTTAATTCGCAATGGTTGAGGCATATATTGGTGGTCGAATTGTAGCATTTAATATGTCGAATTTTTGATTTTTACTATTTTATAATTGTTGAATTGTGGTGTCAAATTTATAATATTTATAATTTGTGTCATGTGATAGTTGTTGAATTTATTAATTTTAAAATTATTAAATTTTGATATTTTATATATAGGCTTTTTTTTATATTGGTGGTCAAACTGTGATATTTAATATATCAAATTTTTAATTTTTACTATGTAATAATTGTTGAATTATGGCATTTAATATTATTATAATTAAATTAATATAATTAGTATTAACTTTATAATAAATTTAGTAATCGAATTATCAAAAAATTCGTCTTAAATTTAACTATCGAATTTTAAAATTAAGATAACCAAGTGACTAATAATTAATATATACTAACTAAAATGTCAATAAATAATAATGCAGTATACAGCTTAAATATAAACAAAATTAAAATTCAATATAAATTCGAGTATTTATTATATTAAAATTATATATGAATTTTTCTATTAATTGGCATTACAGCAATATATTCTTTTGAACCTTTTTTGTGTGCTAGTTTATAAGGTCCAGGTACAAATCGGTTCAAAATTTGATGAACTGGTATTATACAATCACGACTAATTGGAAAAAAGTCTTTAGTCCAAAGTTCAATATTGCATAATCGCTTTTCTTCCTCATTCATTCCAAAATAGAACCTTGTAGAACTATTAGATGCTGGTTTATACCAATGTACAAATGCTAAATTATGTTCTAATTTATGATTATTAATATTTACTGCATGTTGAATGAAATATTGTATTTGGCCAATATATGTATAACAAGAAGCTCCATCTTGAGTCATAAAATTTGTCATTATAAAGGAGCTTCTTGTATGCCACATTAACATATTTGACCCAAATACTTCTGAACCAATTCACAGACAGCCGAATTGGTCTCCAAATGGATTAATTAATATTGAACTTTCATCCCTAATACCATCGAATGGTATTTGGAATAAATGTTGAGGATAAGATGCTGAATAAAATTAAAATAATATATTTAATATATCATCAGACATCATTATATGAATTTTTGAAGGAATTACGAGAAAATCTTCAACACCACTAACTGAACTTGTTTCAATGCTTCTTGACATTTGAAAAAACCTTCGTAACTCATCAGTTTCAAACTGGTCTGATGCTGCTAAGCTTTCAACTGTTTTTCTTACTAAAAGCAAATCAAGCCATCTCATAGTACTCAATTGATTAATTATAGAGTCTTGCATAAGCCAGCGCATTAATTTTGATTCAATTTGTTGATGACTATTTGGAAGTGAACTAAGGTAGCCATTCATTTTCTCAAATAAGAAGCACCAAAATACATAAAGTGGTCCATAGTCAAGGCAACATTGATTAATATGAAGTGCTAGATAAAGATTTGGTATAATATATTTTTTACCATATTCTACTTCAATTTGTTTAATAAGTAAAATAAACCGGTTATGTGCTTCTTCTAACACAGATATATCAATAATTCGACAAACCAAAATTGTACAAATTTGTACAAAATTTGTGAGAATTCTTTGATCTGGTGCTGAAAGATAGTTCCCCCACAGACAGGGTGTTGCATAAATTAAAATAAATGTTTTTCATTCATCAGCAGTAAAATTAGCAAATCCTTCACCACAGTCTACCTTTCTTGGAATTTGGCCAATGTCAGATGGGACCTAAATTTCTGACATTTTTTTTGAATTTGCTTTAATTAGCTTGTATTCAACTTTCCATGATCGACCCATAATTGTTTTACAATCTATTTTGCAATGCCTAAAAATAGGCAATGCATTGGATCAATAGCCAAAAACAGAATAGGATTAAAATATAGCAATCAAGTAACTCAGACCACTGAACACAAGTAAGTTTTTCATGCTGTTTTCTACCCGATTTAATAAAGCACCTTCTTCATTGTTCAGCGTCTTGTCAATATAGAGCTAAATCACATTTGATAAACCATGTATCAATATCATCTATACCTCCAAAATGGTGATGTCTATCCTCATATTGTGCTTTTTTTTACATCAATAGCAAGATACTAATGCTGAGATATAGCCACAAAGTATCTGAGCTGCAGGTATATCACATGAACATAAAATTAATGCTGCCCGGATTATCTTTCTAGATGAGGTTTCATAAGTTAAAATTTAAACACCATCTCAAAATCGGTGTAGTTCATCAATAATCAATGCAAGATAGTGGTTGATACGATGCAAATGAACTTCTTTTGGACCTGGTAAAATATCAAGAATCATTATGTTTTCTGCTTTAAATCAAAGTTCTCTTGGTAGGTTAGAAATACAGTGCAGGAATCCTTAAATCAGCACGTTCTATTATAAGCGCCAAATTTTAACTTAAATATTAATCAGACTAAATTGGGTCAGAGCCAATCAAATTGCAGAAAATTAAAAATAAAAAAAAAGAAATTTAAATAACTAGAGCAAAATCATACCCAAAAATTTAACCAAAAGTTTCAAATACTATGATAATTTATTAGTGTTTGCAAAATAATATCTTCATACATATACTATTCAATAGGTGAAGCACTAAATTATTGTTCTTTATAGAGGCCGCACTTCAATCCAATCCTGTAATAGGGTATTTACTAGGAAAATCACTATTGGCACTTTCAGTAATTTTTCTAACAAATAACCCAAATAGCATTTAATAAATGCAATTATTGTATGTACATATTGGAGTATCCAGAATTCTGTGGTGCATATATCTGCTCATTCTAAAAATATTTTTTGTATTGTAATTGGTTTTAAAAATAATTAAAGTCACGTTTATCCTATGGAAACAATGCAAAAAATTATTTTTAGAGCGAGCAGATTTATGTACCGCAGAATTCTGGACACTTTAGTACATATTCATTGATCATGTGTCTATAAATCATATCTTCTCGTTACGATGTACAGTACAATTATTTGATTATGCGATTTCAAAGTGCTTTTCTTAAATAATGTCTGTCTATATTTTTGAAAATAAATTCATATTCGCGTAATTGGGCAATGATCAATAATTGTGTATATAAGCTCCAATTGCAAACAGTGCAGTGATAACAATATCAATATTATATGCATTTGAACAATTGTTAATTATAACTCTTCTGACTATAATAGATATTATGAAGAATAATTGAATGACTTACCGGGGTTAGAAATTTAGGCTGCTTAATTGTCGCACATATCATAATATAAAAAGTAAATCTATAATTTTTGGTTTAATATAATGCAATATGCGAAAATTAAGCAGCCTGAATTTCTAACCCAGTAAGTCCTATCACTAATTAAATGCTATTTTTACTATATTTGTTTTATAAAATGTTCTTTTATTAAATTATTCTTTTATTAAATTATACAAGCTTAGTATATTATACAATCATTTATATAGAAATTTGTCGTAACTTATATTGACTTAGAGTAGATAAAATCTAATTTTGATGCATATAGCAATGGGAATTTCTAATTGTTAACTATATAAATCATGTTAACAATTTAATTGTTAAAATGATTTATATAAATTTATATATAAATCATTTTAACAATTTAATTGTTAACATGATTTATATAGTTAACAATTAGAAATTCCCATCGCTAGATGCATAATACATTTAAATGCATTTATAAGATTATAGTATTGTACGAAAAGATGGTTCTTACATTTTTATTTAATAAAAATAACATGTAATATATTAAAATATGAAAATGCAATATTAGAAATATTTCATCAAAATCCCATTCTGATTTTTTATAATAAACAAATGCTTTATTTATTTATTTAATTTTTTTTTTTAATTCCAATTGATATAAAAAATATATATCTAAAATATAATTTATTAAATAAAAAAGTAAAAATGCAATTAATAAGATATTTATAGTGCAAAATAAACTTTACTTACCAGTTAGTTGTCTATCGCATCAATTTCATTTAAAATTGTATCTGGAACACGTTGGTGCGATCGATATTTTTTTACAGCATATTCTGCAACCTTTCCTGTCAAATCTTTGCGATACACATCCATATATCTGAAGGCCTTCCGTGCGTATCATCTAATCTTAACCAAATGCACTGATTCAAGAGCTTGTGGTACAGTCTGTTTCAAACCTTCCCATGTGTAATCACAATGATTTCGTGCATATTTTTTTGCGGATCTCCAAAAGTTTTCTATGTAGTTTAATTTACAATGAAACTTTGGATAAAAAATAACTCCATGACCAGCAGAAATAATCACCTCTTCAAGTTTTCCACGTTGTGTTCTAAAATCTAGTTGATTCGCCATTGTAGTCCTGGCGCAACAATCAGTATTTCCTTTACATCCCCCTTTACATTTCAATTTCATTTCATCACGCCACAATCCTCTTTCACTCAAAATCTTCTTTAAACCTTTTGGTTTATCACATAAATCAGGATCATAATAATCTTCAGGAAAACACATATCCTGTTTAATATTATTTTCGTATGTAGTACTTCTAAATATTTGAGAAAATACAATGTCAAAATACTAAAAAATTTAAATTATTTAAATAATTTAAAATAATATACAAACCTCATTTTTGGCTGTTTACTACCGGGAGATAAATTCATGTTCTTTGCTAGAAGAGCATCTTCGGTGTACGCACAATGGCTAGTTGCATTATCAAATGCAAAAAGAGCTTTTGCACCTGGGAATCGTGCTTCAAATATTGGAATTGCACAGTTTACAACCTAATCCACAAGATCATCTGAATCCTACCATTTATCATCATCTTTACTCGGGTAACTTATAATGTATGCTTCTGACGGAAGTTCAGGAAAAGCATCCTAAAAAATTGATCTCAGTTAGAGTTTACAGTTATAAAAAAAAAATTAAATTAAATAAATTAAATTAAAGCATAGAAGTTGCATATATATACCTTATCTTCTTCACACAGTACTAAACGTCCAGCAATGTCAGTAAGAAATTCACTCACATGAAATGACCGTCCTTGATCTTTTTTACAAAGTGGTTGTTCACCTTCTGGCATCCATAACCAATGCCTTCCATTATACGTTGAAAAAATATACTTATTATGTGTTACCAAAATTATGATCTGAGAAGCTGGTCGAGTCTCTTCTTCCATATTTTCACCAGAAAAAACTACCATTTGTGCTTCATATTCTGCTATTTTTTCCAAAAATCTTTCTCGGTAGGCCACCACATCTGCTTGTTCATGCCCGTCCATATACAGTCCTTTTCTTACTTCTGAGTACTTAAACCCAAATGCTTTTAACCAATTTCTGGCTGTTCTTACACATATTGTTGGTGATAGGTCAAAGCAAAGACTAGGAAGTATATTTTCATTCACATGTTTCGCTAGTTCATTTGGATTAACATTCCATTTGTTGGATCGAAGAAAGGACTTGATCTGTGCTAAAATGTCATCATCCCAGAGGAAACTCCAAGTTTTTGGATACTTTCATTGTCTTAAAATAGGAAATGTACCATTTTTAACATAGTTTATGGCCCATGCACGTATACAATAGGTATGATAAACACCCTTTCAGCTGCTTCTGCCACAAAAATACTTGCTTCAACATTTTTTCAGCCACGTTCTACAAGATGAAAATAAGATAAAATTGCATAGAGACGAGCTTTTTCCACCTCATTATATTTATTACTCTTAATTTCTGTTTCTAATTTTTTAATTATTCACCCAATTTCTCAATATATATCATGTGATCTTTAGCAGTTCCGACTTCAAAATTGCTTTCAGAAGTTTCAGAGTCACTATCTGAACTGTAGATATCCAGATCCGTACATATATTTACAGTCTTTTTACATTAAAGTAGTAAATAAATATTTATATTGTGTTTCATTAGCTAGATTAATTAAAAATAACTTACTGGTGACCAAAATAATTCTAACTTAGGTGTTCCAACCGCAGCTTTCCTCTGTATTTGTCTTCGCCACCTTCTGGTTCTTACCGAATTTCCAATATACACAAGCGGGCGATGGGTAGTTACTTCTGAAACTGCTTGCATTAGCTTTGTAATAACATCATTCGCTTCTTCAATTCTTAAAATACTTATTTCTCCATCACGATCTTCGATATCATTAAATTCACTGCTATTGTCGTTATGAGTCTTTAAAACCTCTTTTTGGTACTGATTCTTGGTTTTTTTTAGGCCCTGGATCTTTTGTAAGAGAACTTTTCTTTTAGATAATCGTACCATTTTATTTTTTATTTATTTATTTTTTTTTTATTTAATTGAATTTCGTGAAAAAATCTTCAATCTGCCCCTTTCAGTTGTAACCTTTTTATAATGTTTTATTATAA